GAAAATCTAAAGAAAAAATCATGTCTGTTTGCTTGGAAATTTGAGAAGAAAAAATGAATGTATATTGTATGCAAACCAAAATAACTGCTGTAACAAGTTATATGCAAGTAAAATGCATTTAGTCAGCTGTTAGATTTGAAAATTCTTCTTTCCACAACGTGACCTTCATGTGGAGCTTTGCACTATAGGTCTTTGTGCTGCTAATTGTTTACTAATACTATATTCTAAATTCTAATATTGAAGTTATTCTTGATAAATAGAAGTATTGCCACAACTCTATAACCTTGTAATTGCAAAATTTTCTTTTGAGAAAATTAGCAGAGCTGAAGGTGAATAAGTTTTCCCAGATCCAAAAAAGCTCTTTCTTTTTTATTTTCTTTTTTGGGAAAAAATGATGTAAACTCGTTCATATTTCAAAAGTAAGATAAATTCTGATTAAGATCTGAAACAATAAATTCAGGAGGCTCTTCGGCCCATAATACAACATCCTCCACATTCCGAGCATGTTGAGCCAACATATGTGCCACCTTATTCCCGGATCTCCTGACAAAAGAGATAACTCAATTCTGAAGATTAGCCAATTCCGGTTTAGCAGTTTCAATAATGTCTCCGACGCTTATCTTTTCCATCGCATTTTAGTGAATTTAGCTTAGGAAAAATTGAACCGAATAGCCAATTGAATTGCTTGTAAGTTGTAACGCTGTAAGCGCTTCAATGTCTTCAGCTGTATAGAAATAAGGAATATGAACAACACTATCAAAAAATCTCTATAATGATTGCAGACAATAATTCCAATTCAACACTGCATAATCTGAAGTAGGGTGGTATTTCTTCTATATGGGTAAAATAGGTTCACGAGCTATAAATATGTGTGTGTTTTTTATTCACTCAATTGCAACTTATATTGGCAATCAATTTGAATTTTGATAAATTAAAAGATGGTAAAATTGGTGAGATTGTAACTGTTTATGGTTCACATATTCAATTCCAAATATGAAGAAAATTAGGAGTTTAATATTTGTTATAACTTCTATGATGGATGGAAGTTATTAAGTGGTTTCATATATTAAGATGCCAAAGGGTCCCTAGCCAAATCTGTACAAAATTCCCCGTAGAGTTTTATTTCTCAAATTGGAAGTCTTGTGTTTTATTTCCATCAAGTAAAGGGGTTATAAAGTGGGCATTGGTTGGAAGGCTTGTTGGTAGTGTGAGGCTTAATTTTTATTGCAGATTCTCAATTAATCTTAGATAACATGACCGAAGGTATGCAATTTATTTCTTTCATGTTGTATCAAAGCCATTTTCAAGAAATATATACAAATTTTTAAGTTTTTGAATTGCTAATGCAATGTCTGTTATTCTTTAGATTCTATGTTATGCACTATTCTTCAAATTCTTAAGTTGCCAATGTTGCAATTATTACCATTATTTGGAATTGATATGCTTGATGGTATGAACATGGTGCATATAGATGATCTTTAATTAATATCCATTTGTGATGTCATAATATTTTGATTCAATGATTTAGTCACCATTCAATAACTAATTTTAGAGATGTCATTTGGGATTTCGACATATTATAACTTAAAATTAGCCAAAGCATCTTTAGTTATAATGCTATATCATGAAATGGATTAATCTATATGATGATCAAAGTATATTGATCCATTTTGAAAAAAAGAACTCAAATACAACTGGAAATGGACTAACTAAAAAACAATCGTCACTGCATGAGGAAAACATAGAACGAGAACACCACTCAATGTAGAACGTGCAGAACCTATTACTATTCAAAATATGCAAAATCAAGATGATGTATTAGGTATAAAGAGATTCTCAAGAATAAGGAACCAGCAATTTATAGCGATTATGTTATATGTCTTCAAGAGTCCGATGCATGTGTTGGACTTGACAATGATCCTAACTCATTTTCACAAGCTATTGAATGAGAAAACTCAAATTTTTGTTATGATGTCATGAAGGAAGAGGTGGAATCCATGACAAAATCAAGTTTGGGATCTCGTTGAATTGTGAGATGGACGTACAACCATTGGTTGTAAATGGGTCCATAAGACCAAAAGAAATGCATCTGGAAATATAGAACTATATAAAGTTAGACTTGTAGCCTTGTGTGTCATTCAAAAGGAAGGTATCGATTTTCATGAAACATTTTCTTCGATTTCTAAGAAAGATTCATTTAGAATTACAATTGCTTCAGTAACTCATCTTGAATCGGAGATACATCATATGGTCATGAAAACATGGGGATTTTGAAGAAGGGGTATATATGAAACATTTCGAAGGATTTATTAGTGATGAAGGGAATTACATTATTTGCAAATTAAGAAAATCTATATATGGGCTAAACCAGGTTTCCCGTCAGTGGTAAAGTTTCACAATGTTATTTCATATGGTTTCACTGAAAATATAATCGATCAGTACATATATCATAAAGTATGAGCAAATACGTTTTTTAGTCCTATATGTATATAACATTTTACTTGCAAGCAGTGATTTCAGTTTGCTACATGACACAAAATAATTTATCAGTTGAAACATTGAAATGAAGAATATGGGTGAAGCCTCTTATATCATTGGCATAAAGACTCACAGAGATAGATCTAAAATGTCATTAGGATTGTCTCGGAAGGCCTACATTGAAAGGGTTTTAGAAAGATTAAGGATGAAGGATTGTACATCAAGTGTAGTACCTGTTGTTAAAAATGATGAATTCAATCAGTGTCCATACCTTATGCTTCTGCTCTTGGCAGCTTGATGTATGTACAGTTTGTACTAGACCCCCAACATTGCGATAATTCAGCCGCTGTTTGGCACCCGTTCTCTTTCTCATTCTCTTTTTTCATTTCAAACACACAATCTCCAAATAAAATAATATTACACATAAATCTAAAATTTTTCATCCCTTTTCCACCACACATTCTCCCGTCAATCACTATTCCAAAATTTTTCAACCCATTAAAATGGGTGTCAAACACTCCCTTTGTTGCAATTTTCTTTTTTTTTAAGAAATAACAAAAGTGGAAGCTGAAGCAAACATATCGACGTAAAGTATTTAGTTGTCAAAGATCATATAAAGAAATGAATTACAAATTAAGTATATCAAGATAGATCTTATTATAGCAGATCCCATAACTTAGAGCTTGTTGGCTAAAGTTTATAAATCCCATGTTGAGAACATGGGAATTACTTGCTCAATCATGATACTCTGATTCTTGTTTTAAGATTGTTGATTTGTATTTGAAACAATTTTATTAGTGCACTTAAAAGTTTGTAATGGATATCCATTGTGGTTATTAAAGTTTGGACAGAATGACTTATACGAAGTTCAGTAATAAAGTAAAGTACTCTTTTAGAGGTGAGCGTATTTGTAATATATGGAGGGAAATGTTTGATTATTAAAACATGACCCCCAAGATTGAAGTATTGTGTATTTCTATTTGAGTAGGTTATTCACAGTTTTAGTACATCTATTAAGCCCCTATTTGGCAACCCTTATTTCAAAACTCTTCAATTTTCATACTTATTTTCAACCACACATTTGTACAATAAACTGTTTTACACGTAAATTTAAAACTTTTCCCTATTTTTTAACCACACATTCTCCAAAAAATCACTATTCAAAACTCCATTTTCTCAAAATAATCGCCATCAAATAGTGGCTAAGTTCTCACGTTAAAGTTATCGTCACCTATATTCAATTCCAAAGATGAATAAAATTAAATGGTGAGTTTAATATCTGTCACATCTTCTATCTTCTATGATAGATGGAAGTTATTGAGTGGTGTCATATATAAAGATGTCAAAGAGTCCGTAGCCAAACCGGTATAAAATTCAGTGCAGAGTTTTCTTACTCAAATTGAAAGTTCTATATTTTATTTCCATCAAGTAAAGGAGTTATAAAGTGAGCATTGGCTAGAAGGTTTGTTGGTGTTGTGAGGCTTAATTTTTACTGTAGATTCTCAATTAATCTTGGATAATATGGCTGGAAGTATGCAATTTATTTCTTTTAAAGATTTCATTGATTTCTCCTGCGCCACAATCTGTATCTCATAGAAACATTTGGAATATTTCCAGGATTGATTTAAATTGTTTGAGATTAAAATGTTTCATTGTGTTGTCTCCTGTGATAGAAGTTCTCAGCTGACTTGGTATGCCAGACTTTCTTAGTACATCTCTGAGGTTTTCAGGAGGATTTTATTGGTGTATTGTGATCCCAAGTGTACTAATAATTTCTTGAAAAGTGTAAAAATAAGTAAGATTTCATACATTTTCGGCAATCTACTGTTGTTCGATTTTGTTTTAACCAAAATAATGATGTCTGAGGTCTTATGGCATCAATTGTTGTGCAATGATAGCTTCTTGGATTCTTATTTTCCAGGTTTCATCAATTGCCTGAATTTGACCAAGGAAAACGGAGTTGCCGCAGACGACTTGCAGGCCACAATGAGCGTAGGAGGAAGCCGCCTCCTGGATCTTTAATGTCCACTCGCTATGGAAATCTTTCTTCGTCCATATTCGGTTTAGACATTATAGACTCAACTTCTTATATATTCTCTTGTTCTGCTATTAGCCTATTACTTTTGCAAAATATTTATTCCCAATTCGGTTAATTTCTTTTTTGAAGAAACTGTGTTCATATGATTGATATTTGCCATGCCAGAAAACCATGGAAGAACTGGAGGCTTTGTGATGGACTTTGCTACAAACCCAATTCTGACTGGGAGGGATTCATGGCCAAATACAATGTCGTCTGAACAAGTGGTGGGCAATCAAGTTAAGATCGCAGGAAAGTTTGCACTTTCATGGCAGGGCAATTTGCAAAATCCTCCTCCAGATCTTCTGCAAGGTTTAACGACCCGAACCAGTTATCTGGGTCCTGGAGTATCTTCTGAAGAACGTTACAGTGGAGTCTCGGACTCCAGCAGTGCTCTCTCTCTTCTGTCAAATCAACCGTGGGGCTCAAGAAACCTTTCATCCAGTCATGGAGAGAACAGTTCACTTGATGCCAATGGGACACCCCTAGTTCAGCCATTGGTTACCCACACTGCACCCATTGAACACTTTTCAGTATTCTCGCACAATTTTAAGGGCAACCAAGTCAGTAGTACTTTGCAAGAGAGGCCTCCTAATCTTGGTTTGGGTCAAATTTCACAGCCTGATAACAGTCCGTATTCCAATGAAATCGAGATGGCTCGACAGGGCGGAGGACAGTACCATGAACTTCTCCAGTCCAGGGGTTTTAATTCTTCTGTCCAGCATATGAACTGGTCACTTTAGAACTTGTATCTTAAATAACTTGCAGGTTCTTCTCAAGTTCCTTGCAATCTACTTGTGCCATTTGCTCCTTGTGCGTTAGGCAAAAGACACGTATTTGCATATGTAGTACTTTAAGTTTATGTTAATGGATGTCTTTCACGTTGTTTGTTTTGTATTTGCTCACCATTGTCCTAAGTGTCTATTGCATGTAATTACCAATAGTTCATGTTGTATATCTACATTGGAGCTGGATTCTTGATCTTCAATAAGTTCGACAAGATTGTTTTAGTGAAAATCTCGCATATCTATAATAATTTATTAAAAATCATATCAAGTGAGAATTATTTTTAGGACGATTATAGTTATATTATAATTCAATTATTTCAATAATATCTTACTTTTTTCTTTTTCAATATATATTCAATTTACAAATGGTAATAAATACTATAATTAATTCTCAATTAATTAACATTAACATGCACATTTATTTAATTATTATTAATTAAATTTTCACATTCACATTCAGTCCTTGTTATTAATTTCATATTAATTAACATTTACATTCATTTAATTAGTATTATCAGTTCATTATTCACATCTGTATGCTAATTAGCATCGAGTTTCACTTAATTGGAAATTAATATATATACATTTAATATAAATAATTTAACATTTATTGCAGGGCCATACTTGTGTTTCGTGGGGCCTGAGGCGAATTTCAGAATTTGAACTCCTAAATCGTAGCAAGTAATCATTTCTTTTTTCATTTATAAGAGTTTTATGGAACTAAATTTGTTAACTTAAAATCAACAATAAAATAATNTTGTTCAACCATTTCTTTTTCAATAGATAATATGGTCAATTCATTCAATCCTTGCTGTGACAAAGTTGATCAGAGATAAATCATAATTAATTTCAAGTTGAAAAAACTTCTTTCTGCTGATGCAATTATAATCGGTATGGTATTTGACTTACTTGTTTCACCTTTAGCTAATTTTCTAAATATTCCATTCCACAAGTACAAAATCAAACTAAGATTTTTGTTTTTATTCCATCGATACAAACAATCTATTAACAGAAAATGAAAAAATAAAATAAAAATAATCAATGATTTGATGTTTCTAACTTAGCTATAGTAGCCTAGTAGAAGTTTTTTCTTTCATTACATGTGTATGGTAAATACACGTCGCACTTATAATGAATTCAATTTCTCATAAAATAAGAAATAAACTTCTTATATGTAAAAATAGTTAATTTTTATCTAACGATATATTATCTAATGTCATAAATATTTTCATAATATAACAGTCAAATGGAAAAATTAAATCAAATCATATTTACCATATATTGCACCCAATTAATTAATAACGGATTATAGATCGAGAAAATAAATTCAATCCCACACAAATCAATGATCTGATCAACGAGATATTGAAAAAATATAACTGAATTTAGAGACAAAACTATACAGTAATCAATTAAATATATAAAATCTATCAGTCAATGCAATTAAAAAAAAGCTCGGGTTAATAAATGATTAGATCAACAAAGATGTGTGTAACGATGTGTATATATATACCGAGTTGGTGTTACACGATGAAATGAGTATTCCAAATCTAGACACTAATTTTATGATTTACGATATCATTGTTGAAGAAGCTTCATTGCTTGGAGCAGCTGAAAAAAGGGTGAGCAAATATAAATGACAATGAATTTTTAAAATAAAAAAGGAAGCAAAAAATTTTTTTTTTGGGTCCCTAAAGAGCTAGGCCTAAGGCGACAGCCTCTTGGGCCTCTCCTCAGGTCTAGCTATGATTTATTGTACACGTATATATTCTTGAGGAAATTAGACTATGTACCCTAAATATAAAGTCATTTTGAAAAATCATGTGAAAAGTAATTAAAAAGTATAAAATACTGTATATTTTCTTTAATTCTATAACTAAACCCTAATGCTCTTATTTTCTATTTTTTTTCTCCTCTCTTTCTCTCTCTCTATACCTCCCTCATATCTAGAATAATGCAGTGAGATTTTTGTAGAATTTCGAAATCACCAATAAAACTGGCAATAGACTTCACTCTTATCATCGAAACTCATATTAAAATTGGCGCTTCTACTATCAATGGACTGAGGAAGACGAACATTTTGTCGACATTGCTCTTCTTCTTCTTTTCTTCCCATTTTTAGGACTGGATCCATTTCTTATGGGTTATGATTTAACGTGGTTTTAATACTACAATAGTTTGTATTGATATGAACCTGAAACCACAAAATGCTTTCAATTAACAACTGAGTGGTCTACCATTGGATCTCTTCCTTTATTCTTGGGGTTGAATAATGTAAATGTATTGTTTGCTATTACTCCACAGGTTGGAGCTTTTCTGTTTTTTTATTCCTTGTTTTTCCTTTTTCTTTGATCTACTACTAATTTTATGTAAATTTATTTGTAATTAGACATTGATTGTTCATTTTCGTTGACCTTTTGGTTATTGTAGGTTGGATAGTGAAATGAGCAGCGGGAGAATGGAACATTCCTCTCGAGGAAAAAGCTATGTCAAGATTGGTTGTGCATTTACCTTTTGATTTGAAGCTGTTATAAGATAATTACTTGATTAATAAGGCATTATTTTGAAAATGATATTGTTAATTCGAATGCTTCATCATTGC